ATTTTTCCACCGCGGTCGCCTCTCCATTGGTCTCTCCTCGTCACATGGTGACAATTCGAAACTCCAGGCAGGGCGCGTGAGAGGTCAACGGCGCGTCGGAACACGACTCCTCTCCAACCTCGTTTTCCTCGACTTTACTCTATCTATTGTTTAAAATCTTTTAACAAGACAAAAGGTTCATTGTTTAAATCCGATCTTTAAGTTCGCTCTTTCGCACTACGAAACTTGACTCATTTAAAAAGTCGTTAATGCTTTCGGACCCCGTTTGGGTCTTCACATCCTGAGGTACCACTGTATACATAAAATTATTTCTAATTATTTGGTAACTGCTTTCTGTATACATTAAATCATCAAACTTTTATATATAATGATCAAGTTTTTTGTGAATTTGCTTCAATAAAATTTAATTTTAAAGCAAAAATTCTATTTCTAGTTTTTATTCTTTCTCTCTTCATTTTCTAAAACAACAACAATGCTCAGTCCTTTATTGGAATATAGTTTTGTTGAATGTTTAATTTTAATCTGCATATTCAAATAGTCTCAATTTCTCATCATCAGAACTTCATATATAAATACATATGAACTGAAGTTCTGCTGATGAGATTGATTATGATTATGATGAGAATGAGATGATTGTGGATTCTAACTCTAAATTTTACAGATTTTCAATAATAGAGTATTACTATTATATTTAGCATATTCTGTTTAGGACCATAAGCAGATAGGCAAAATTCTAAACAATTACATGAAATAGCAAATTTTTGGAAGTCAATTGCCACCAAACGTTTGTTGTTTGGTCAGTCTAATTTTCAAATTCTATTTTCTGGAAATTATTGTTTTACAGTTTGCTATTTATGGTTTTATACTCACACTAAATATATATATTGTAAAGAATATTTTTAACTTCACATATGTAAAGTTAAAAATATTTTTTTTGTTCTTGAAAAAAATGTTGTTCTTATTTCTTGAATAAAAATGCATTTTTTAAATCATTATATTACTATAAATTGCATAAAATTATATTAGCACATTTCATAAGTAAATGGCTAAATTAAATTTAAAAATACATGATGTAATAATAATGATTTGAGATGAGATTCATTGTAAAGATAATTGAATTTGATTAAGTAATCATTTTTGCAATTGATGTTATCTAAGTTAATAAAAATTGAAACTGATAATTAGTAAAAATCAAAGAATTTTAAAACAAATTGCTTTTCTTTTTAATGATTTTTATAAAAATATTTGCAATACTTTTATATATTTATATACATATATAACGTTATTTAATGAATATTTTTATGATTATGTTTCATAAGCTTTATAATTACTGTTTATAATTATTTGTATAATTAATTTATATTATATCTTTTCAAAACTGATGGGTCTTAATTTAGCACAAAAAAAGAAAAAAAACAAGAAAAATTGTACCTTGAATCTAGAAAAAGATTTAAATTATTCATTTTATAAATAAAATGATTTTATTCTAAATTTCTGATAAAACAGATTTGACAAATTACTTTCATATCTATTTTAAGATGTATCATGTAATTAAAAAGATGAGATAATTGATATTTTATATTTAAATACTCTACTATCAATAAGAGCTTAACACTTTTTGTAAATGATTTATAATCTCCATTTTCTAATTAAGTACAAATCTGTTAAATATTGATAGATTGAAAGGATACAATAAAACAGTAAAATACTGTAGTACACAAGTATACAAAATAAAACTTGTAAAAGACAATTGAAAAAGTTTACAGCTGCTATTATATTAATTATATAATGATAAAACAGTATAATTTTTAGTGTTTGATATATATATCTGAATAAACTCCAAATGTTAAATAAACTTTAAATCTGTTTCTATTTTACATCCATTTAAATTCAGATTCATTTTATATATGGATCTTAAAATGAAAATTGAAATAATAATGTCATAGAAATAGATAATTGAATAATTCTTGATATTTAATTATGAACTGATTTTGAATTAAAGGTTTTTCTGTTAATACTTATATAGAGAATTTAAAATACTGCTGTTTGAAAGAAACAAAATTTCTTAATAAATAGAATAGTCTTTTGATAATGCAAAATTTGAATCCAAATAGATTAAAAAAAAATGAAAATTGGTCTGACAAAATAAATTTTATAAAATATTAAAAATTTAACATTTTGTAGAAAATACTTAAAAAACACAGCAATAAAGTGATTTCAACATAAGTTCAATTAAAATTGACATTTAATTTTGATTGAATTTATTTCAATAGATAATTTTATGACCCAATAACTAAGATAATTCAGTAAAATTACCTTGAACATTAAAAAAAAATTTTAAAGTTGAATAATAGGATTTTTTTTAAAAAAATCTTATTTAATTATACTTTTCTTTTTCTATCATATGAATTTGTCTTTGTATTTTTTCTTATTCCAACATTGATATTAGGTTCTTAACATATGTATACAGACTGACAAAACAGTAAAGAAGATCCTATAAGTAAAATTCTTCTATTGCATGCCTAAAGATTCACAACAGCATCAAAAATCCTTTAGTTTATAATAGATTAATAGAACAGCAATAGATTTTAAACTTAAGTGTTTATTAATATAAAAGAATGGTATAATAAGTTAGTATGATATTTTAATTCATAATGTTTTTTAAAATTGTAAAACATTAGTTAGTATTTATATTTTGTAGGGTATTCAAATTACAATTATTGTGAAGTGGGTTGCATGTATTAAGAAGTATATTGGTTAAAATATTTAATTTGATTCTGTTTATTATGTTGATTGTTTAATAAAGTATTTTTAATGTATTGTGAATCTTTAGATTTGGTAATACAAGAATTTGACTTGCATGATCTTTACTGTTTTGCTAATTAGAAACTTACCACTCAAATTTTATAAGAATATGTATATAGACTTTGCTTTCTAATTTATTTGAATTAAAATTTAGTGTATTATGTAAAAAATATTTTAAAGTAGCAAAATAAAAAACGGTAACTGCTGAATTAAGTCATATAATAATGATATTGTAGTGAAGTGAAATAATAATAATAAAAAAATCAAAATTATTCATTTTACTAAAATAAAACTATATAATGATCATTTATATTTTTAGAATAAGATGAATTAAGATTTAAAGCAAAAATTCTGTCTTATATTTAAAGAATTCAGATTAGAAATAAAAATATGATTAACAGTTAAATAATAAATAATAATATTTTTTTTAAAGGCACCTGGAAGAGCATTTTATCTACTATGGGTAAATATAATTGGACCATGGATTTTTCAACCTGCTCCCGAAATTGATGAAAAGAAACAGAAAAAATTAGAAAGGAAGGCACGAAGACATTAATTTAAGAATTTGGTTGTTAATTTAATTTGATATTTACTCAGATTAGAAAATTTTCAAATTTGAATATAATTTGTAAAAACTAATTATTTTTGAACTATTTTTTGGACTATTGTTAATTTATTTATATTAAATGAAAAATTGTTTTGATATTTAATTTAAAAAAAATGTATTTTAGTGTCAGTTCTTAATGAAAATATAAATTTCAATTATCTAAATAGTTATTTTACTATACAATAATAATTAGTAATGTAAATATCAAATATGTTTATACGAATTTAATGATTGTATGTGTGTGTATATATTTTATACAGTATATAAGAATATATTGATGGGTGATAACAGAATGTTATCTGTTAATTTTTAACATATAGGTTTTTTTGGCCCTATTTTAAACCTATTGTTAAATATGAATTTATAGACTTAAGAGAAAAACAATTTCATCATAAGATATTTCTTAATTGATGCTAACTGCAAACAATTAAGAAGCTATGTTTGTTTAATTGGTTAGGATAGTTCATACTTTTATATCAATTTGCCATGTTTTTAGAATGTTCTTTGTTAAACTGAAGGGATGACATCGAAATAATATATCAGCATGTATTAACTCAATAACTGAAACTTTTTTCACTGATATGTTTAAATTACAAATTTAAAGCAATGTTTGAAAAATATTCTGGATATATGTTTACAAATATTTGAAATATTTCTTTTAATTTCATAAAACTGGTTTAGTCTAATTTTATATATATAGCAAATTTTCATATTTAAGAATGATTAATTACATGTTAAAAATTGAAACCTTTTCTTTATGTTTGAATTTAAAAAAAAAACTTTCTAATCACAATTTAAAGATATAATATTGGTAGATAAAGGATGGCAAACCTATGGTGCACTGGAAGAATTTCTTTGGCATGCAGTATGATGAAATTTAATTTTTTTAATTTATTGTATAATATTCAGTATAATTATTATTAATTATATAAATAATAAATAGTAAAAAAAAAAAATAAATAAATATAAGAATATGTTACAATAATTGTAATATTTGAACTATTCAATATGACTTATTCTAAAATCAGTGTCAACAGTCAT